GACAGTAATACCTCCCTTCTTAGGGACACAATGGACATGACTTACCCATTGACTATCAGCAACGGGATATATTATACCTTCCTCAAGGAGTTTTAGTATTTCCTTCCTTACCACTTCTTTCATTTTAGGATTCAGCCGGCGTTGATGATCACAAACTGGTTTAGCATCTTCTTCCAAATTAATTTTATGTTGACATAGAGTGGGACTAATGCCCTTAAGATCATCAAGAGTATACCCAATAGCAGCACGGTGCTTCTTCAGAGTTTTCAATAATCTCTCTTCCTCATGCTCTGAAAGGTTAGCACTAATAATAACAGGATATATCTTTTTCTCATCAAGATAAGCATATTTAAGAGTATCAGGTAACGGTTTAAGCTCAAACACGGGATCACACTTGGGTGGAGGAGGATCCCCTGGGATTTCAATAGGTAAATTGTTTTTCAGAATAGGTTCCTGTTTAAAGAATACCTCATCTAATTCCCTTCTTTCATTCATAAACATATCATTTTCATGGTCTAGCAAATAATGTTCTAAGGGATCACTAGGAGGTACGACAATAGAAGCAAGACCAATAATTTCATCCTTACTAGGTAATTCTTCTTCACGGTGTTGTCTATTAAATTTAGAGAAATTAAATTCATGAGTCATATCATCTAAACCAACAATAACAACATCCCTTTTGCAATCTATGGTAGCATTAACACTGTTCAAGAAGGGTCTACCAAATATAATGGGACAAAAACTATCTTGTGGGGAACCAAGAACAAGAAAATCAGCAGGATATTTAGTTTTCCCACACAAGACTTCAACATCTCTAACAATTCCCATTGGTGAAATAGTATCTCTATTGGCAAGTTTAATTGTGACATCAATATCTTCTATTTCAGCAGGTGCAATCTCATGCATAATTTCTTTGTATAAGGAATGAGGTATTGTGCTAGCACTAGCACCCATATCACATAAGCCATGATAACAATGATCTCCTATTTTAACAGAAATAACAGGCACGCCTACCACAGGTCTAGGTTTATCTTTAGCACAGGGTTTAGCAATTCTAACAGTTTCATCACAGAAATAAATAACATGCCCATCAATATTATCGGACAAGAGATCTTTAACAATAGCAATATTAGGTTCAACTTTAACTTGCTCAAGAGGTGTATATGTTTTAATATTGCTTTTACAAACTACAGTTGAAGCTTTAGCATGATCCTTTATCCTAACATGGAAAGGTGGTTTCTCAACATATGTAGTAGGAACAATAGGATCATTATAAGTGACAATATTTTCTTCAACTTTAATAGGTGCAGCTACTTTTACTTCTATGGGAGGATGATATTTAAACCACTTCTCCTTGGGGAGATCAACATAAGTAGCGAAAGATTCATAGAAAGAAGCTACTATCTCAGAGTCAAGTCCATATTTAGTGCTAAATTTACGGCAAATATCGGTATCCATAAAAGATTTAACACAATCAAAACTAGGTGTCATACCTGACTCCTTACCATTGTCGAGGTCCCAATCTTCAGAGTTGCGTTTAATTCTTTCTAATAAATCTCATTTGAATTCAATAGTCTTCATCATAAAAGAGCCAGCACAAGAAGTATCAAGCATGGTGCGATTGTTATCAGAAAGCCGAGCATAAAATTTTTGAATAATCATTTTTCTCGAGAGATCATTATTGGGGCATGAATATAACATTGATTTAAGACTCCCCCAAGCTTGAGCGATGCTTTCTACTTCGCGAGGCCAAAAATTATATATGTAATTGCGATCACGATGAACAAGATGCATAGGATAAAACTTCTGATGAAATTCCAATTTCAATCGTTTGTAATTCCAAGACCCCATATCATCACATAGCCTATACCATGTCGATGTGTCTCCCTTCAAAGATAAAGGGAAGACCTTCTTCTTAACAACATCTCCGGGTACACCTGCAAGCTTAAATAATCCACAAACTCCATCCACATATATTAGATGCTCATCAGGATGTTTTGTTCCATCTCCTAAAAAGGGATTAGCTAGCAGTTTTTCTATCATACCCGAAGGAATTTCAAAGTAGTCATTTTCATTTTCAGTAGGTTTAGTAGGTTGAGGAGAAACTCTTTGCTCTACTAGTCGGGGTGAAGATACCCTGAACAAGCCCCTCAGAGGATTATTTTCCATAGTAACAAGTGACAGTAAATTTCAGCACACTATATAAATTTTTCCTTACCAAATTCCACCTACCAAAGGTGCTTCACTCCCCGGCAACGGCGTCAGAAAAGAGTCTTGATGACCCACAAGTATAGGGGATCTATCATAGTCCTTTCGATAAGTAAGAGTGTCGAACCCAACGAGGAGCAGAAGAAAATGATAAGCGGTTTCCAGCAAGGTATTCTCTGCAAGTACTAAAATAAGTGGTAACAGATAGTTTTGTGATAGAATAATTTGTAATGAGCAACAAGTAACAAAAGTAAATAAAGTGCAGCAAGGTGGCCCAATCATTTTTGTAGCAAATGACAAGCCTGGACAAACTCTTATATAGAGAAAAGCGCTCCCAAGGACACATGGGAATATCGTCAAGCTAGTTTTCATCACGCTCATATGAGACACGTTCGGTACTTTGATAATCTGGTATGTGGGTGGACCAGTGCTTGGGTACTGCCCTTACTTGGTCAAACATCCCACTTATGATTAACCTCTATTGCAAGCATCCACAACTACAACAAAAATATTAAGGTAAACCTAACCATAGCATGAAACATATGAATCCAAATTAGCCCCTTACGAAGAAACGCATATACTATGGTTTAAGCTTCTGTCACTCTAGCAACCGATCATATACTTATTACTCCCCAATGCCTTCCTCTAGGCCCAAACAATGGTGAAGTGTCATGTAGTCGACGTTCACATAACACCTCTAGAGGAGAGACAACATGCATCTCATCAAAATATCAAACGAATACGAAATTCACATGACTACTAATAGCAAGACTTCTCCCATGTCCTCAGGAACAAAAGTAACTACTCACACAGCATAAACATGTTCATAATCAGAGGGGTATTAATATGCATATAGGATCTGAACATATGATCTTCCACCAATTAAACCAACTAGCATCAACTACAAGGAGTAATTAACACTACTAGCAACCTACTAGCATCAATCCTGGACTTGGAGACAAGAATTGGATACAAGAGATGAACTAGGGTTTTCAGAGGAGATGGTACTGATGAAGATGTTGATGGAGATTGCCCTCTCCCGATGAGAAGAGCGTTGGTGATGACGATGGCGGTGATTTTCCCCTCCGGGAGGGAAGCTTCCCCGGCAGAAGAGCTCCGCTAGAGCCCTAGATTGGTTCCGCCAAGGTTCCGCCTCGTGGCGGCGGAGTTTCGTCCGAGAAGATGGCTTATGATTTTCCCATCGAAAGACTCTATATAGCAGAAGATGGCCATCGGAGGGCCACCAGGGGGCCCACGAGGTAGGGGGCGTGCCCAGGGGGGTAGGGCGCGCCCCCACCCTCGTGGGCAGGGTGTGGCCCCCTGGTGAAGTTCTTGCTCTCAGTATTTTTTATATATTTGGAAAACATCTTCCGTGAAGTTTCAGGACTTTTGGAGCTGTGCAGAATAGGTCTCTAATATTTGCTCCTTTTCCAGCCTAGAATCTCAGCTGCCGGCATTCTCCCTCTTTATGTAAACCTTGTAAAATAAGAGAGAATAGACATAAGTATTTTGACATAATGTGTAATAACAACCCATAATGCAATAAACATCGATATAAAAGCATGATGCAAAATAAATGTATCATGGAGATCATGAAGGTGGATCTCAACACCGTGTCGCCAAGGAAGAGGCCGTGGTTCGAGAAGATGCAGGCCGACATGCTCAAGTTCGACGACGAGTGATCTCATGGCGGCAAGCGCCATCCTTTTTTTGTATGCCGGCAAGTGTGATGGCATGACCACGGGGCTGCGATGGCGTGGTCGAACTCAAGTCCCACCCCTTTTTGTGTGGTGGCATGTGTGCCGGCCGCTGGCGAGTGCGCAACATGAACTGTGTGGTGATATTTTTTGAAGCTGGCATGGTGCCGGCAAGAGACATGGCTGCTGTCATGATCTATGGCCACGGGCCTTTTTAAAAAATTGAGTGCGGACATGAAATGGATCGGCGTGTTAGGTGCACTGCCGACCCAAATCTAAAACAGGGCGGACACCGGGTGAGCGGCCGACCCAAACGGACAAAAAAGGACAAAAGTGTCGTCCATTTGGGTTGGCCCATTGAAGTTGCTCTTATTATAACTGTTCCATAATCTATGTTAAACGATATCCAAATGTGCATATTTAGGTAAAGATTATGAGGAAAATTAAAAATCCTAGTAATATTTATCAGCACAACTGCTTCATCCTCAACCATGGTTTTGGGTACCGGGCGGAATTTTCGAATACCACCCGGTATCCGCGTTTCTCGCCACCCCACGAGAAAAATATGTACCGAGCGAAAAGATTTGAATTTAAACTCTAATAGTTAGGTTCGGAACTTTCGAAGAACAGTTAGGCATCAGTGGCGTAGTGGTAAACGTGGCCTTACTTATTCTTTCCTGTGGTGCAGTTAAAAATACATGGGGCTGGACTGATTCGATCTTGCAACCTCAAGGCAAGATAAGTTCATATAGGAGTACGAGCTAACCACTGCCCCAGAAGGTCTATTGTTGGCGAAAACGAGTCCAGGTGCAATCTATACATCATTCAGAGTTTTGAATTCAAAATTCAGATTTAAATTTTGTCCGAATTTTTTTCGGGATTTCGCGGTTACCGCGGTAACCGGGAATTTCGGTGCCCCACGAGAAAAAAGGTGCACTCGGAATCCAAATCCTTGTCCCCAACTGTACTAGCAGGCCACACCAGCGTGATCATCTCTCCATATATGGACCACATCCAGGCGGCACAGGCCAGAGTTACTTAGAAATAGCACTAGACTCTGCGCAAGATCAGTCTGCTGCCAAAGAAGCGAGCGAGATGGCCCGGCTCCTCTCTTTCGTCCCCATCTCCCTCCTCCTGCTAGCTAGCCTCGCCGCCGGCGCCGGCGCCGCAGCAGCCGCGGATCCAGGGGAAGGGGGCCCCAGGATCAGCACACAGTACGCGAGCGAGGAGGAGTCCCGGTGGCTGGACCGCTGGGCGGAGAAGCATCTGCCCCACGGGCACGGTTCCGGCCAAGCCATCGAGATTCAGCCGGGCAGCGACGAGGAGTCGGCGCAACTGAGCCGCATGTTCCCCGGCAACGCCTACATCGGCCACATTGAGTATGACAAGGACCATCCGTATGTACCCTCCTTCTTACACCCATCATTCATGCGTGCCCACTTACTGAATCTTGCTCCGCTTGCTTTGCTACCACTCACGACCATACTGAATTTCGCTTCTGCTGTGCAGCTTTGGCAGAATCGTGGTGGATGCCTTCCACTCCAAAGCTCGCCAGGCCAAGCCGAACGATGATCAGCAGAACCACGAGGAGTCCCACTCCCACGCCGAGGTAGCTAGACGATGAATTCGGCGCGTATTGCATCAGTGATTCAACTTGTCTTGTGTTAATCCTTGTGATTCTCTTCGCAGCATGACGTGAAGGATCTTTAGGAGCGTTGGCACCTAGCCGGTGAGGCCGGCCGGCCATATCCATGACCTTGTCGATGGACGGAATAACGACGGATGACTGAGGAGTTCATTTCGTGCATCATTAGCCTGTTTTAGTAGCTATGGGGTTTGTCCTCAGAGAGATTAGTCGAGTCGTTGTCTACTGTCTAGTAGTAGTAGTAGTAATTCTGGTTTATTCTGCCGTGTGGTGCTCTCCATTTGCAATTTGTCTTTGTTTAGCTAAATCCATTTGGTTATTTAGAAATATCTCTTAGTACTTCTTGGATCTAGATTCCATTAAAGCAGATGTAAAATCATCTAAAGAACCGTAATCAAACCCATACTGCGCAAAAAAAGACTAAATCACACTGCTTCCTCCATATAAAGTTCATGTGGAACAAAATTTGAATAATGTCAAGTTTTTGGGACCGAGGTACGTAGTACACAACAAGGAATACGGAACATGCAGTTTTTCATTATTTGAAAACATGGTGCAGGTTCATGAAAGAAATAAATAACGGGTGAGAAAAGAATTTCGCATGCTGCGAAATCAAGCAAATATTGATGGCCAACCCTTTTACCGTGAAACAAAGAATCGGTTTCACTTTCAACTTTGTACTGGCGAGCAAACGGAAGCCACATGTGCATTCAACACACACTTTAATTTGGCTGACAAGTGAGAATCCGGCCAGCAGCAACCGTCTGGTAGTACACTACTACTTTTACTGAGGTCGTTGAGGCAGACGCTCCATGCATCAGTTTGATCGATCACACCAAAGTTGAGGTAGCACCGGTAGCTCATGCATGATCACCCCCCACAAAGTGTGTGGGGTTTTGTACTGCATGCAGCTGATCTTGTAGTTGTTGGAAATATTAACACCATAATGATTAATCTAATCCACGAGTAGATAATAAACATAGCAATCACAGTAGTATGCACTTCATACCGATACCTAAGCATGTGAGCATGTATAATACATAGGACCGAAACATCTATGAACACAACATATACGGCTAGCACATATGAACAAGCAAATCACACAAACATCTATAAACACAACATATACGGCTAGCACGTAACGTGTGTGGGGTTTTGTACTGCATGCAGCTGATCTTGTAGTAACTTGTTAGGGCATCTAAGCCAGTAGGGTTCGACCTCGGAAAGAGTATTGATTGAAGTCATTGTTTAGTAGTAGTAATTCTGGTTTATTCTTCAGTGTGGTGGCCTCCTGCAAGTTCCTGTAAAATCCATTTTGTTATTCAGAAAGGTCTCTTATTACTTGTATATAATCTAGTGAAGCAAATGTGAAATCATGTAAAGAGCGGAATGAAACACCAAGCGAAAAAATACACTAAGCCACAAGGACGAGGATTTACGGCAAACAAGTGCGGGGGCACTCAGGCCCCTGGTGCCAGCTTTTTATTTTGGCTTCCGATTTTCAAAGTTCTATATCTTTTCAATGAAAATTTCAATGAAGTTATGTTTCATATTTGTGTTTCTCGCGACCAACGCTTTGAAATAAGATCCATTTTAAATATATTTTGATGACTTTTGAAAAAATGTTAAGTTTTAATGTTTGAAACTTAGTACGAGTGACCGATAAAAATCAACTATTTTGTGTCTATGACCGACAGAAACAAATGTTTAAAATTATATCTCTGAAACTTGATGAAACTAGGCATTTTTTTGATGCAAAAACGGTAAGTTTCGTCATCGAAACTTAATGCTTTTTGAAGGATTTTCGTTTTCACTGCGATCTCGTGCGGGATTCATCTACTTCACGAACCGCGAGGCAAATCGAGTGGATGATAGAGCTTGGCAGGTGAGTGCCCCTGCGAATATCCGTAAATCACTATTTCAGCTAAATTTTATGAAATTTGACATTGTACGAGATTTCAGATATATTAAGGCCCAACCGACCCTCCAAGGGCACCTCTAACCGATCCCCAATAACTGGTGGTTAAAAGGAGTAAAAACCCGGTTTTATTTGTCTAACCGGGACCTAGCCGATCCCTGATACTCCATAGTGGAGGATAAATTATCCTCAGCCGCCTCCACGGCCCTAATTTTTACTCCATCATGTGGCAACTGAGTAAAAAAGAGCCCCTCTCTTCATCTTCCTCTCCGCCTCCTCTGCCTCCTCTTCCCCCATCCTCGCCGCTGATCAGCAATAAGGATCCACGCCCGCGGCGCCGCATCGTTGTGCCACGCCGCCTCGCCTATGCGCCCCCACCCGCATCTTCCCGAACCTCCCTCCGCCACGGCAGCCGCAGAGGACATACCTAGGCATCCGCCGGCGAGCATGGGGGATGTGGGTGGAGGAGATCACCGACCGGGAGACCCACAAAAAAAGTGGCTCGGGTCGTTCCACACGGTGGAGCTCGCCGCCCTGGAGTATGACCGGTGGCATGATAGGATCCACGGCGTCGTGCCGCGCCTCAACTTCCCGTGGGGGACGGCCCCCGCCCTCCTCGTCCCGGTGGCGCAGGGGGGTGGTGGATGCGGCGACGGCTCGGGAGGACCGAGAGGCGACGAGGTACATGGCGAGCTCCGCCACCAGCACCCTGAGGTCGTGGAGGCGGAGCAGGCGGTCGACTGGAAGGTCATCGTCATCTCCGACGACGAGGCCCAGCTGACCCTCTAAGGCCCTTGTTTTTGAATGATTTTTTTCCAAAAAGGTGCTATAATGACATGTTTTGTACTAGAACAAAATTTGAATCTCAGAATGCCAAATATTTTTGGGCGGAGGTAGAATACAGCAAGGAAAACTGTACAAGCAGGAGAGAGAGAGAGAGAGAGAGAGAGAGAGAGAGAGAGAGAGAGAGAGAGAGAGAGAGAGAGATGGTGGAGATTCATGAGTAAAATAAATAATTAGCAGGAAAAATACTCGGTATGCTGCAAAAATCCAGGAAAAAATTCTGGGTAAAATCCAGGAAATATTGATGACCCGTGAAACAAAGGATATGTTTTCAACTTTGTACCGACGAGCAAACCGAAGCCACATGCATTCACTCAACACTCAACACACACTTCCTTTCAAAAAAATAAAATAAAACTCAATCCACACATTGGCTGAGAAGTGAGATAACTCCTGCCACCAGCAACTGCCTGGCAGTAGTACTTGTCTTGAGGCAGTTGAGGCAGACGCTCCATGCATCAGTCAATCGATCACACGTAAGTTGAGTAGCACCGGTGACTCATGCATGATCACCAATATCACTCTGCTCTCTGCACATGGTGTGTGGGGTTTTGTACTGCAGCTGATCGTCTATGGATGTCTGATATCAAATCATTTATACATGATACAACATCATTTATACGGTAAAGGAAATGTGTACAGGAAAATAGAAAGGAGACAAAGATAGGGGATGGCTGGTTTAGAACAAAGAAAAATATATGAAAATAACATTTCTGTAGGTGCAATATAAAGCTGCAGCAAATATCTAGGAACAGCTTCTCTTTTACTCTGAAACAACACCGCTTGTTTTGACTTTTCACTACCCCTGACAAGCAAACAGAGAGCACGTGCATCAAACACACACTTTGTCAGTCAAACGGCTCCATGACCATAGGCTGATGACATGCATTGAACTGCCCACAAGCTAGTAGCAGCAGCTGGCACATACATGATCACCCTACGGCCGAGTAGATCAGGTTGCCGACGGTCTCTCATCCTAAAGCATGTTCAGCATAAAACAGCCGCCGGTCAAGCAAGATCCTTAAGCAACATAAAACATCCCACAATAACAAACAAGATGTTGGAAATAATGTGATGGCTATCATTGGTATAATTTCGAACCTTTTTTTTGCGGGGGATTTCGAATCTACTCAAGTGACATGAATGACAAAGATTTATCCACCAAAAATAATTTGGCATACATAAGGATGAAAACAAATAGGGTGACATATACTAACGTGATAAACCTATTTCACAGATAATAACATGACTAGCAGATTGACCAAGAACAATACAAATCACGGGGTGAAATTTCCCTTATAGTGGGGTTGTTTATGAACATGACGACGGGGAGTCGAGGAAGTAGCGGATGTAGACGAAGTCGAGGAAGAAGGGCAAAGAAGTCGTGCGAGCATTTCCCAGAAATGTTAGCACCCAACTACCCATTGGGTCATCGATCGTCGGGGTATGTCCGAGACTAATGTTGTGTCCCCGCCTGCTGCATGGCAGGGCGAGGAGCGAGGAGACTTGGTGGCTGTGGGCTCAGAAGAGAACATAAGGATGGTATTTCAAGTGGTGACTCTCTCGGAAGGGACGTTTCCCTCTTATAGGGCCAAATTGATAAATCATAGAAAAAACGACTGGCTATATGCCATGAACCACCCCCGGCATATCTCCACTACCAACTAACACACTAACAACATGTTGATGTGCATAGCTTATCCTCGGATAGTGTATTAGATAGATGTGGGATAAGATAAAGACCCTACTAACAAAAAATGAACTGTAAATTACCCACTCCGCGGCCGCGTGTTGTCAAACACGAGTGTACACACATGTGGGTATATATTTAACATGGTTCTCTCGTCCTCTCATGAAAAGGTTTACGTGAGGTGCCCTTATATGTTAGTCCAAACATTTGTCCGTTTGGGCATCTACAGCCGTGCCCCCTAAATTTTGAACTCGTTAAGCCAGTTAAGCCATGCAAACTCTTGCAGCGTAGAATTGCAAACAAGCCACTAGCAAATTTGATTTAAAGATTCTAGATAAACAAGATGCAACTACAGAAATAGAAACTACATACTGCAAACTACTCCTCGTCTGAGGTGATCGGGATCACCCCCTCGCTGGAGTCGCGGGCCTCATGGTCATTGTTGGCGTGAGGCATCTGATCGTCCTCGTCTGCAAAGTTATCCTCCCGCCCTTGTTCATGGATGAAGATCGTGTGGTGGTTCATCGACACCACCCGCTCATCCTCGATGGACTCTAGGATGGAGCAGTTTTTGGCAATGAGGGTCGGGTTGATGTAGAGCTCAGTGAGGACGG